CGGTAGGTAGTGTTATGGTTCAGTACTTAGTGTTATGGTTCGGTACGTAGTGTTATGGTTCAGTACTTAGTGTTATGGTTCGGTAGGTAGTGTTATGGTTCAGTACTTAGTGTTATGGTTCAGTAGGTAGTGTTATGGTTCGGTAAAATGGTGTTATGGTTTCAGTACTTAGTGTTATGGTTCGGTACGTAGTGTTATGGTTCAGTACTTAGTGTTGTTATGTGGTTCGGTAAGTAGTGTTATGGTTCAGTACCAAAGTGTTATGTGGTTCGGTAGGCTAGTGTTGTGGTTTCGGTAAGGTAGTGTATGGTTCAGTACTTATCCTTTTATGGTTCGATATAATTTAGTGTTATGGTTCAGTTGGTAGTGTTATGGTTCAGTACTTAGTGTTATGGTTCGGCTACTTGGTGTTATGGTTCATTAGGTAGTGTTATGGTTCGTGGAAGTAGTGTTATGGTTCGGTACTTAGTGTTATGGTTCGGAAGGTAGTGTTATGGTTCGGAAGGAAGGTAGTGTTATGTGGTTCGGTAAAGTCTTATGGTTCAGTACTTAGTGTTATGGTTCGGTAGGTAGTGTTATGGTTCGGTACTTAGTGTTATGGTTCGGAAGGTAGTGTTATGGTTCGGTAGGGAGTCTTATGGTTCAGTACTTAGTGTTATGGTTCCATTGGAAGTAGTGTTATGGTTCAGTACTTAGTGTTATGGTTCGGTAGGCCAGTGCTATGGTTCGGTAGGTAGTGTTACATGGTTCGGTAGGTAGTGTTATGGTTCGGTAGGTAGTGTTATGGTTCAGTACTTAGTGTTATGGTTCGGTGAGTAGTGTTATGGTTCATTAGGTAGTGTTATGGTTCGGTAAGTAGTGTTATGGTTCGGTAGGTAGTGTTATGGTTCCGTAGGTAAGTGTTATAGTTCAAAGTACTTAGTGTTATGGTTCCGGTAAATAGTGTTATGGTTCGGTAGTAGTGTTATGGTTCGATGCCGGTAGTGTTATGGTTCATTGAAGTCTTATGGTTCGGTAGGTATGTTATAGTTCGGTAGGTAGTGTTATGGTTCGGTAGGTAGTGTTATGGTTCGTGGACTGGATGGGATGTTATGGTTCGGTGAGTAGTGTTATGGTTCGGTAGGTAGTGTTTATGGTTCGGTAGGTAGTGTTATGGTTCGAGCAGGTAGTGTTACCAGTTCAGTACTTACTTAGTGTTATGGTTTCGGTGATGATGTTATGGACTGTTGGAAGTAGTGTTATGGTTCGGTAGGTAGTGTTATGGTTCGGTAAAGAGTCTTATGGTTCAGTACTTAGATGTTATGGTTCAGTGGGCTAGTGTTATGGTTCAAGTACTTAGTGTTATGGTTCGGTAGGCTGAATGTTGTTATGGTTCGGTAGAGTATGTTATGGTTCGGTAAGGGAGTCTTATGGTTTCAGTACTTAGTGTTATGGTTCGGTAAGGTAGTGTTATGGTTCGGTAGTTAAGTGTTATGGTTCAGTACTTAGTGTTATGGTTTCGGTAGGTAGTGTTATGGTTCGGGAAAGGTAGTGTTATGGTTCAATACTTAGTGTTATGGTTCGGTAGGTAGTGTTTGGTTCGGTAGGTAGCGTGGCTATGGTTCAAAGTACTTAGTGTTATGGTTCAGTAGGTAGTGTTATGGTTCGGTAGTTAGTGTTATGGTTCAGTATAGTGTTATGGTTCGGTAAGTGATGTTATGGTTCGGTGGGTAGTGTTATGGTCGTGCAAGGGAGTCTTATGGTTCAGTACTTAGTGTTATGGTTCGGTGGAGTAGTGTTATAAGTTTCCGGAGGTAAAGTGTTATGGTTCAGTACTTGTGTTATGGTTCGGTGAGTAGTGTTTTGGTTCGGTAGGTAGTGTTATGGTTCGGTAGGGAGTCTTATGGTTCAGTACTTAGTGTTATGGTTCGATGAGTGATGTTATGGTTCGGTAGTTAGTGTTATGGTTCAGTACTTAGTGCTATGTAGTTCGGTAGGTAGTGTTATGGTTCAGTTGGTAGTGTTATGGTTCAGTACTTAGTGTTATGGTTCAGTGCTTAGTGTTATGGTTCGGTAGGTAGTGTTGTTATGGTTCGGTAGTAGTGTTATGGTTCGGTACTTATGTTATGGTTCCGAAAGTGGTGTTAATGGTTCGGAAGGTAGTGTTATGTGGTTCGGTAAAGGGGTCTTTATGGTTCAGTACTTAGTGTTATGGTTCGGTAGAGCGGAGTGTTATGGTTCGGTACTTAGTGTTATGGTTCGGAAGGTAGTGTTATGGTTCGGTAGAAGTCTTATGGTTCAGTACTTAGTGTTATGGTTCGGTAGGTAGTGTTATGGTTCAGTACTTAGTGTTATGGTTCGGTAGGTAGTGCTATGGTTCGGTAGAGTGGTGTTATGGTTCGTGGGTAGTGTTATGGTTCATTGGAGTAGTGTTATGGTTCAGTACTTGGTAACATGGTTCGGTAGGTAGTGTTATGGTTCGGTAGGTAGTGTTATGTGGTTCGGTAGGTAGTGTTATGGTTCGGTAGGTAGTGTTATGGTTCGGTAGGTGATGTTATGGTTTGGTAGTGTTATGGTTCAATGCTTAGTGTTATGGTTCGTGCAGGTAGTGTTATGGTTTAAGTGCAGGTAGTGTTATGGTTCCGTGGTGATGTTATGGTTCATTGGGGGAGTCTTATGGTTCGGTGGTAGTGTTATGTGGTTCGGTAGGTAGTGTTATGGTTCGGTAGGTAGTGTTATGGTTCATTCAGAGTAGTGTTATTGTTCGGTAGAGTAGTGTTATGGTTCGGTAGGTAGTGTTATGTGGTTCGGTGGTAGGAGTCTTATGGTTCAGTACTTAAGTGTTATGTGGTTCATTGGGTAGTGTTGTTATGGTTCGGTGGGTAGTGTTATGGTTCGGTTGGAAGTAGTGTTATGGTTCGGTAGGTAGTGTTATCAGTTCGGTACTTAGTGTTATGGTTCGTGGAGTAGTGTTATGGTTCGTGGAGTAGTGTTATGGTTCGGTAGAGTAGTGTTATGGTTCGGTAGGGAGTCTTATGGTTCGAGTACTTAGTGTTTATGGTTCGGTAGGTAGTGTTATGGTTCAGTACTTAGTGTTATGGTTCGGTAGGTAGTGTTATGGTTCATTAGGTAGTGTTATGGTTCGGTAGAGTGTATGGTTCGGTACTTAGTGTTATGGTTCAGTGGAAGTAGTGTTATGGTTTCGGTAGTTAGTGTTATGGTTCAGTACTTAGTGTTATGGTTCGGTAGGTAGTGTTATGGTTCGGAAGGGTAGTGTTATGGTTCAGTACTTAGTGTTACTGGTTCGGTGAGTAGTGTTTGGTTCCGGTAGGTAGTGTTATGGTTTAATTACTTAGTGTTATGGTTCGGTGGGTAGTGTTATGGTTCGGTAGTTAGTGTTATGGTTCAGTACCAGTGTTATGGTTCGGTAAGGTAGTGTTTATGGTTCGGTAGGTAGTGTTATGGTTCGGTAGGGAGTCTTATGGTTCCAGTACTTAGTGTTATGGTTCATTAGGTAGTGTTATGGTTCGGAAGGTAGTGTTATGGTTCAGTACTTAGTGTTATGGTTCATTGAGTAGTGTTTTGGTTCATTGGGTAGTGTTATGGTTCGGTAGGGAGTCTTATGGTTAAGTACTTAGTGTTGGTTCGGTAGGTAGTGTTATGGTTCAGTGGTTAGTGTTATGGTTCAGTATTTTTAGTGTTGTTATGGTTCATTAGAGTAGTGTTATGGTTCGGTAGGTAGTGTTATGGTTCAGTGCTTAGTGTTATGGTTGATAGGTAATGCTATGGTTCAGTACTTAGATGTTATGGTTCAGTAGGTAGTGTTATGGTTCAGTACTTAGATGTTATGGTTCGATGCGTGTGATGTTATGTGGTTCGGTAGGTAGTGTTATGGTTCGGTACTTAGTGTTATGGTTCGATGAGTAATGCTATGGTTCGATAGTTAGTGTCATGATTCAATAGGTAGTGTTATGTTTGGGTAGGTAGTGTTATGGTTCCGTAGGTAGTGTTTATAGTTCATTAGGTAGTGTTATGGTTCGGTAGGTAGTGTTATGGTTCGGTGATGAGTAGTGTTATGGTTCGGTAGGTAGTGTTATGGTTCCGTAGGTAGTGTTATGGTTCGGTACTTGAATGTTTTCAGTTTGTTAGAGTGGTGTTATGGTTCAGTAGGTAGTGTTATGGTTCGGTAGGTAGTGTTATGGTTCATTAGGTAGTGTTATGGTTCGGTAGGTAGTGTTATGGTTCGGTAGGTAGTGTTATGGTTCGGTAGGTGTTATGGTTCGGTAGGTAGTCGTTATGGTTCGGTGGGTAGTGTTATGGTTCGGTAGGTAGTGTTATGGTTCGGTGCATTGTTATGTTATGGTTCATTGGAAGTAGTGTTATGGTTCCGTGGAAGTAGTGTTATGGTTCGGTGGGTAATTGTTATGGTTCATTAGTTAAATTCTTGGTTGAATTTCAGTACCATGGTTCACCCTCAGTGCCATGGTTCACTAAACAGTATGCGGTTCACCAGTGAAAACCATGGATCACCAGTGAGGCACCATGGATCACCAGTCAGGCACCATGGATCACCAGTCAGGCACCATGGATCACCAGTCAGGCACCATGGATCACTAGTGGGCTGGATCACCAGTAGGCCCATGGATCACCAGTGAGGCACCATGGATCACCAGTGGCATGGATCCTAGTGAGGCACCATGGATACCAATGAGCATCATGGATCACCAGTGAGGCACCATGGATCACCGTGAGGCATCATGGATCCAGTGAGGCACCATGGATCACCAGTGAGGCCATGGATCACCAGTGGCATCATGGATCACTAGTCAGGCAGATCACCAATGAGGCACCATGGATCACCAGTGAGGCCATGGATCATAATGAGGCACCATGGATCACCAGTCAGGCACCATGGATCACAGTGAGGCACCATGGATCCAGTGAGGCACCATGGATCACAGTGAGGCCATGGATCACCAGTGAGGCATCATGGATCACTAGTCAGGCACCATAGATCACCAATGAGGCACCATGGATCACCAGTGAGGCACCATGGATCACTAGTGAGGCATCATGGATCACCAGTGAGGCACCATGGATCACCAGTGAGGCACCATGGATCACCAGTGAGGCATCATGGATCACTAGTCAGGCACCATAGATCACCAATGAGGCACCATGGATCACCAGTGAGGCACCATGGATCACCAGTGAGGCACCATGGATCACCAATGAGGCACCATGGACTCACCAATGAGGCACCATGGATCACCAATGAGGCACCATGGATCACCAGTGAGGCACCATGGATCACCAGTGAGGCACCATGGATCACCAGTGAGCACCATGGATCACCAGTGAGGCACCATGGATCACCAGTGAGGCATCATGGATCACCAGTGAGGCACCATGGATCACCAGTGAGGCACCATGGATCACCAGTGAGGCATCATGGATCACCAGTGAGGCATCATGGATCACCAGTGAGGCACCATGGATCACCAGTGAGGCACCATGGATCACCAGTGAGGCATCATGGATCACCAGTGAGGCACCATGGATCCAGTGAGGCATCATGGATCCCAGTGAGGCTATGGATCACCAGTGAGGCACCATGGATCACCAGTGAGGCACCATGGATCACCAGTGAGGCATATGGATCACCAGTGAGGCACCATGGATCACCAGTGAGGCATCATGGATCACCAGTGAGGCATCATGGATCTGGTGAGGCATCATGGATCACCAGTGAGGCATGGGTCACCAGTGAGGCACCATGGATCACCAATGAGGCACCATGTTAGCACTGTGGCTGCCTCGGGGAGAAATAAAAGTTGCAGGTATTTATGGTAAGTTGAGACGCTCCACAGGTTAATGAATGAGCTGGAATTAACGAGGTGTGGCAGTGAGGTGGTGCTTTGACCCTCTACCTCCCCTCTCCCTTCCTTCCCCCTCCACCTCCCCTTCTTTTTCCTTCACCCCTCCACCTCCCCTACCTACCCCCCTCCACCTCCTCCTCCTTCACCCCCCCTCCACCTCCCTCCTCATCCTTCCCTCACCCTCTACCTCCCTCTCCTTCCTTCACCCCTCCCTCCCCTCCTCCTTCCCTCACCCTCCTCCTTCCCTCTACCTCCTTCCATCTACCTCCCCTCACCCCTCCCCCTCTTGTTCTCCCCCACCTCCCTTCTTATTATCCCCCCTTTTCCTCTTATCCTTCTCCCCCACCCCACCCCCTTTCCAATCCTCCCCTCATTCGCTGCTGCTCACCCCTCCCCCCTGAGCCTACTTTATTCTCCCCCTTCAAAACACTTCCCCCCCTTTTATATTAATCCTCCGTCCCTATCCCGCTCTACCCCCCTTCTCTCCCCCTCCTTCTCCCCTCCTCTCACCTGCCCTCCCTTGGTTTCCTTCCCCTACTCTGTATTGTCATCTCCCCTTACGCTGCCACTAACTCTCGCTCTAATCTCCCTTCACCCCTACCTCGTCCCTCTTCTCCTTCCTCTGTCCTGTTTCCTCCCCTTCCCTTCCTCCTACACTTCTCTCTCCCCACCTACCCCTCTCCCTTCTTTCCGTCCTACTCTTCTCTCCTCCCCTTCCCTCCCTCCTCCCCCAGAGTCAGCCACCCGCCATGTTTGTGTTCATCTGGAAAATGAGGGCTGCCCCCCAGGCCTCGTTGTGCCATTAGAAAATAGCTCCCCAGTGTGTCAGGTAATGTTGGCACCCGGAACCTGCTCTTAACACCCCTCCACTCCCTCCTCCAGGCTCCCTCCTCATCCTTCACTCCCCTTCCTACCCTCACTTGGTTACTGCCTGTCAACGCTAGGGAGACCTTATAACATATTGAACACACTCTGGCGCCGTACATGTTCAACACACTCACCGTACATATTCAACACACTCTGGCGCCGTACATGTTACAACACTCTGCCGTACATGTTCAACACACTCTGGCATACATGTTCCTACACTCTGGCACGTACATGTTCAACACACTCTGGCACCGTACATGTTCAACACACTCTGACCGTACATGTTCAACACACTCTGGCACCATACATGTTCCACACTCTGGCACCGTATATTCCACACTCTGGCACCATGCATGTTCAACACACTCTGGCGCCGTACATGTTCAACACACTCTGGCACCGTACATGTTCACACACTCTGGCACCGTACATGTTCAACACACTCTGGCACCGTACATGTTCAACACACACTCTGGCACCGTACATTTGCTTCCACACTGGCACCGTACATATTCAACACACTCTGGCACCGTACATATTCCTCACCTACACCGCAGACACACTCTGGCACCATACATATTCAACACACTCTGGCACCGTCATGTTACACACTCTGGCACCGTACATGTTCAACACACTCTGGCACCGTACATGTTCAACACTCCACCGTACATATTTCACACTCTGGCACCATACATATTCAACACCTCTGGCACCGTACATTCAACACACTCTGGCATAGCCATGTTCAACACTCTGGCACCATGCATGTTCAACACTCTGGCACCGTACATATTCAACACACTCTGGCACCGTACATGTTCAACACACTCTGGCACCGTACATGTTCAACACACTCTGGCACCGTACATGTTCAACACACTCTGGCACAAATATATTCCCACACTCTGGCACCGTACATGTTCAACACACTCTGGCTTCTTCACATCAACAAGAAACTTTAAAACTTAAGGTCAAGGAACATCTGGTTTTGGTCTGTTTTATTATGGTTGAAAAATTGTTAAGTTGTGTTTTAAAATATAAGTGCAAGAAAATTTATCATCAATAGTGTGTGTGTGTGTGTGTGTGTGTGTGTTTAATATCATCATAATCACACTTAGTGAAACCTGAACTGTAGTTTCCTGAGACTTTAGCACTGTTTTATCTCTCTCTCTCTCGCTTTCTTTCAATCTATGCATCGATCTACCAATCTAACTATCTACCCATTTCTCTGTCCTGTACACTCCTAACCCAGTTGCAGTTAACTATTACCGCAAGTCAAATAGCCAGACCTGCCCTTCATCTACAGTCAAAAAACTGTCCCCACACATATCTACACCCAACCCCCCAACCCCATACACACCTACACTCCCCCTACATTTACTTACAGTTCCCGAATACACCCACACGCCCACAGCCCTAAACCACACCCTTCCACCACACCCCTAAGCCCAAACGCTCACAATCAGCCCACACACCTAATACACCCACTCGCACACAATCGGCTCACCGCACACATACACCCACACGCCCACAACTCTCTACCACACCCCTACACCCACAACCCTCCACCACGCCCCTACACCCAATTTTACCAGCACGCAGGGCCCCGTTAAGGCAATACTTGCATCACTCAACAACAATTTCACCAACTTTCACTATTTAATTTTTCAGGAGCTGTAACAAGGTCCTTTATCTCTCTCTCTCGGGACTTAATAACGCGCTCACAAAAATTTTAAAATCCCTGTAAATTAAAAAATCCATCGCCTGCATAATCCTCCAATTAGGATGGCGGGCTGGGATTGGTAGTTGTGGGGGATGGGTGGTGTGGGTTGATGGTGGGGGTGGTGTGGGTTGATGGTGGGGGTGGTGTGGAGTTGATGTCATGGGAGTGAGTGTAGAGTTGATGTTGGGGTGGTGTTAGTTGATGGTGAAGTGGTGTGGAATTGATGAGGAGGGTAGTGTGGTTCATCAGGGGAGGTGAGTGGTTCATGGGGGGTTGACGGGATTTGATGGGGAGGGGTGAATTACATAAGGTTCATGGGGAAAGGGGGTGTGAGTTGATCGAAGGGGTGGTGTGAGTTGATGGGGGAGGGTGGGTGTGAGTTGATGGGAGGGTGGTGTGAGTTGATGGGGGAGGGTGGTATGAGTTGATGGGGAGGGTGAATTGTGGGTTGATGGGGTGTGGGTTGATGGGGGTTGGTAGAGGTGGGGTGATTGAAGAGGTGATGAATAAGAGGTTGAAGAGGGGCAGGGCGAGGGAGGTTGAGGGAGAGGAGGGGGAAGAGTGAAGGTGGTGAGAGAGAGAGAGATTGGGAATTAGGGTAGAGGTAAGTAGAATGAACAACTAATCGCTCCTCCCCACACGTCAAGTCCAGGAGTGTTGTTGTGGTAATAATTGACGGGGATTTATCGTGCTAGCCAGTCCCTTAAACGTGAACACATCTACCTAAATGTTCAGAGGTATTTAGATGTCATTTAACCTTTATGTTTTTAAAGTAGAGATTCTTGCTGTACTTTATCTGTATATCTTTATCAATTTACTGTATACATAATATCTTTCTATTTATCAGTAAACATCTCCATATCCACGTATTTATCTAGGTTTCTCTCTTCGCTCATCCTTACACACACACACACACACACACACACACACACACACACACACACACACACATACATACACACACACACACACACACACACACACACACACACACACACACACACACACACACACACACACACACACACACACACACACACACACACACACACACACACACCGTCCCAAATCAAACACATTAACATCAGCGAATTTTCTCACTAAGGTTGAAAAAAGTAAAATCAGTGTCTAAGTTTGTTTAGTTCTCCCAGTAACAACAACCACAACAACAACAACAATAAAAATTACCTTAATAGAATACAAACTCAGCTGTCCCGCCAATTGTCAACATCAGCCTGTTACGTATTGCATGATATCAACTTGCAATTTCAATCATGGAAAAGCTAGTTGGAACGAGCTATCATATTTTCTGTTGAATTTGCAAGATTAGTTCATATCGTTTCCAAATGGAGGAGGATAGTGACATTTTTTTGAGTGTGAGCGTGTGTGTGTGTGCGTGTGTGTGTGTGTTTCGTCCTTAGTTTACTCTGTGGAATTGGTAAAACACACACACACACACACACACACACACACGAACGCGCGCGCGCACACACACACACACCTGTCTCTCCACTACACCCACCTTGAATTTAATAAAAACACCAGACAAATGAGAGAGAGAGAGAGAGAGACGTATAATGAAGGGTTGGGGAGAGACCTTGGTAAGACGAGACACAAAGAAGGGAAGCGAAGGGCGAAAGCAGGAACGGGAAGAGGGGAGGAAGGGGAGGGGGAAGGGGGAAAGAGGTGGGAGAGGGGAGGAGAAGGGAAGCCTGTGGAGATGGGTGGGGGAGGCAAGGGAGGGTTGAAGTGTGCAAGAAAGGAGGAGGAGGAGAAGGAGGTTGTAATTTGCATGGGGCGGGAGCGTCTGGGGATTACTGCTGCCTTGTGTGTGTGAGTAATTGAGTGTGAGTAAGTGAGTAATTGAGTGAGTGAGTGAGCTGGGTGTGCAAGTAAGTGTGAGTGAGTGAGATCTGAACACATCTTCTGATACACCGCGCCCTGAGACTCACACAATTGTTGCGAGGGATGAGTGGGCGTAAAGATGGAGAGGGGTGGGTGAAGATGGAGAGGGGTGAGTGAGAATGGAGAGAGGTGAGTGGGAATGAGGATGGAAGTGGGAGCTAGGGAAAATATGGAGATGGAGAGGGAAAAGTGAGGAGAAAGAGGAGTAAATAGGAACAGAGAGGGATGAGTGGAGAGGGAAAACGGTGAGGGGTGAGAGGAGGTGAGTGGAGATGGAGAGGCGCGTGCGTGTGTGTGTGTGTGTGTGTGTGTGTTTCTGTTGACCTTGTATTAAACTCTCCACACGGCGTCTTATATCGATCTGGCGTCGGTCTCATTCTAACCCGCCAAGACCCTAAAAATACAACCATGCCGTACAAACTTT